GGCGTCGTGCACGTGGGTTGGAAAACTACGGAATAAGATAAGCATTCATTGCGCGCGCAGCATTAGACAAGTTGCCAATATGATAAAGTAGGTATAAAAGACACACAAACGTGATAATGTTATGACAATCACTCGCGTCGCAGTGCTCCCGCGGCATGTTGTAGTCGGCTGTGTAGGATGGCTTCATTATCTAGTGTTCTGGAATGCAACATCTCACAGTCGCTGATAACGAATGAAAGCGTAACTGCGTATGCGGAGACGGGCGACGTTCAACCGGCTATACAACCGATTCAGAAATGGGTAGCCTATCTGCTAATTCCCGTCAACATTCTCAACATGCTTTCTAATCTTCTCGTCATCTTGGCCGTGACACGGACATCACACCTGCAGGAGCTGGCACACAAGCTGATCGTAAACCTGGCTGTCGCTGACTTCTTTATGGGAGTTCAAGGAACCTTCTTCGCGCCATTAACATTTATAATCGATTTTCCACCAAAGATCTTATGCCTCGGACACTTCACTACGGCTTCGTTTTCCGCTACCACATCTGTAAACGCCCTCATTGCCATCAACGTAGACAGATACATTGCCATCTCACGCCCTCTACGCTACTATCAGATCATGACACCACGCTTCATTATCGTCATGATAAGCCTATCTTGGGTCGTCGCCGCAATTCCTAGCTCCATGGTTGCTGTCAACAACCGCTGGAAACCCGACGAGCCGTGCATCTATGACGTCATCATCAGCCACGCCACATCCGTGCTGATGCTTGTCATAGTTTGTCTGTGCAGCATCGTCATTGTCACCATCTACTCGTACATGATGCTGATCGCTAGACAACATATGAGGCGCATCCAGCCGCTGAGTGGAGCCGGCGGTCCGCAAGAGGAAGCTGCAGAGAGTCACGCCTTCTATACCGCTCTCGTCAAGCATCTGAAGCTGGCGAAGACGTTCGGCATTGTCGTCGGCGCCTTCCTCGTCTGCTGGACGCCGTTCTTATTGATAATGGCTTTGAACCTCGCTGGCATCCGACACGACCTGCTGGATCTACTGCGCGGCGTCGGCTACGTGTTGGCATACTGCAACTCCTTCATAAACTTCTTGATATATGCAGGGAGGAGTAGCCAGTTTCGCTCGACGTTCTGCGCTGTGTTGCCCTCGTGCGGACACTAGAATTCTACGCTGGCGACTCTTACGTATTATGTTCTAAAATGCATTAGCGTGCAGATGAGTATAATTATGTTTGCTTGTGTTTCTATATAATATGGCGATGTCACGTAAAAGCAGACGAAATGTAGTTAGATGCAGAGCCGGGTCGATAACTTTGCGAGTGCGTTTCCCGTTATATATGTACTTCGTTCCCTCTCCATTTCACTTCATATAGCCTCTCCCCTTCGTTCGGTACCTTCTCCTCCCCTCCTCGCCACTTTCCCATTTTCCTATCCTCGATCAATATGAACTATTTATGTTCCCTCATAATATGGTTTCACTATTTAACGTTTATATGTTTAAACGCTACTTCTGGAGCCTCGCCCTTGCAATGTTCCGGGAGTCCAGTATATAAAATCCCTAGGTGCACTATCAACGTAGGGCTTATCTTCGTTAGATTTCGTCACCGCATAAAGACATCTACCCTACAAGTGACATTTATATCGAATTTGCTAAATGTTTTGACAAAATGACGGCAGGTTGCGTTTTACGCTAACATTTTGAACAGTTTTTGATCAAATACAGTTATTTTTTTGTACAAACAGTAATAAATATGGACTTATAAAGGGCAAGATTTAAACATTCAAGGTTATGAAATG